GTGTCGAGCTCATTTGTTATGAGGGCCAGATTGAGACCTTGTTGGGCCGGGCCATGTGTGTCATAAAATGTGATGCCAGGTAGTGGAGATATAAACTTTATAAAGGACACAAACACAAAGGTTGGGTTGTTGTTGTTTTTACTTAAAATAAAAACATGCTTAAAACATTAGCACTTGCAATATTTTGTTTATTTAACAGTGTCTGATAACTGACACCTCTGGCTCTGAATTACTGCATCAAAATGTCTGTGCTGTTGCAATCTTGACTCTGCTGTTCAGGTATGTATGTAAGCTGCAAACCTATAATGATGCAGCAGCAGCAGAACTGGAAGAAGAAGCAGAAGACAGGAAGTCCTTCACCGAAATAGTCATTAACACCTGGAACTCACTGCCACAGGAAGTGGTGGTGGCTACACACATAGACAGCTTCAAGGGGGGACTGGATAAACATGGAGTAGAAGTCCATCCCTGGCTATTAGCCACAAGCCACAAGAAGACTGTCTGGTGCAGTGATGATCTGTACTCTTAGTGCTTGGGGGGCAACAGTGGGAGGGCTTCCAGAGCTCTGGCCCCACTGCTGGACCTCCTGATGGCACCTGGTATTTCTGGCCACTGTGTGACACAGAGTGTTGGACTGGATGGGCCATTGGCCTGATCCAACATTGGCTTCTCTTATGTTCTTATGATCGCTGCTGCAACTCCATCATTATTATGAAGAGGGGGGGTGGCACTCTTGGTCTGGTGAGGAAAGCTACCTGCAGACATTGTTGGGAGAGGGGTCTTAGCAGACTCCTGGCACTCTCAGATAGGCGGGGAAATATACAATGTTGTAAATTGACCAGAAGGGAAAGGCATCAATAAACTAGCCAGGTGAAGATGAAAAGGGGAGGGGGGATGAGAAATCAACCTGCTCAGCAAATCCAGATCTTAAATCTGTGGGTCTTTGAGTCCATCCAGCTAACCCACCTGCATGTCTTTTATTTCTATTAGATTTTTTATTTCTATTAGATTCTTACAGTGACTTGATATATGTTAACTATTTAGGTTGGCAGGCCAGGAAGTACTGGCCAAGGATGACAATGCCAACTCCTGTGGCTGAATTTTGAGACACCGGTTTTCCACAGCTGCCTTTTAGGAAATAAATTAGGGTTACTAAATGTTCTCTTTTTAGAGGACATGTCCTCTTTTTTTAGTGTCCTCCTTCTTTTGGGCTCTTTTAAAAAAAACTGATGGAAAAAAACCCCTGAAGCTTACCACCTCTATAGGGTCCAGATTAAAATCTCAGAGACCCAATGGCTCCAGCCTGGAAATTATGTGTAGAGCTAAATGTGACCTCTTCTGATCTATTTTGTTTTAAACTGTTTTTAATTATGTTGTACACAGAGTTTATGAAACACTTTGTACTCTGCCACTGACTAAGAGGTTTAACTTAGTAGGTACACTTAGCACTTCCATAATATTTATGTTAAGTGCCATTTATGATTCTAACCACTGAAACAGAAATCGATCATGAATGTATTCAGATATTAACTTTGGTTCATTTATGGCTATTGTTTAAATATGATGGGAGAATAAAGATGCTGACACGCCACGATTTTGTTAAGGCTTACGGCCTTGGCAGGCCAGCTATAACTGTGCATGTCTCTGGCTAAACGAAGAACAATGGCACCTTGTAAACCATATCAGCTATATAGATACTTTTAGAATTTTACAGTCTAAGAGAAAGAAACACTTACTGTTCAGCTAAAAGAAAAAAAACTTTACTTGGGAAAGCCCAGCCTAAGAGGTTTCTGCCAACCAGAGACCTGTTAGGTGAGAGTGCTGATGTTTGATGGAACCAATAATCTTGTTTTATTTGTGTGTGTCATCTTGAGTATAAAATCCTATGTCACCCATTGTAACACTCGAAGAGGCTTTTGGGTATTCAGGGGTTCCAGACCTTGATATCTGTACACTTCCTTTATGAATTAATAAATATTTTTAGTGTTTTCCTCTCTACAGGACTGTTTTTATGTGTTTCTCAAATTGGGTTAGGAAAAACACAGCCAGGGACACAAGTTGTGTCCAACAATTATTTGTATTTTAGTTATTCTGGAATAGCATATTTATGTGTTTTAGAGCCTACTTAGAGCCTGCTTGCGGGAAGAGCAAAATATAAATTGAAAATAAATAAATAAATGAAATGTCTTCTTTTTGGGTTGAAAGGTCAGGAATATTCCTAGTCCCTAGTAACGTTTAAGGAGCAGGGGTATTTGAAATGAGATTTGTCATAGCGATCACTTGTTCGGAGTAAGTCGGGAAATGTGCCTTCTTTTTTGCTTTTCAAAATATGGCAACCCGAGACAAATTTATTTATGTACTTTATTTATACCCTCCCTTTCTCCCCAGTGGGCCCCCCAAATGGCTTACAAGACATCCTGCTTTCCTCACAACAACCCTGTGAGGTAGGTTAAACAATGCATGTTGATAGAACAAAGGCCCCTGCCACACGGCAGGGAAAAGGACGGTCGAACTGCGGCTAATCAGAGCCGCAGCAAAGTTGAGACGAACTGCGGCTAATCAGAGCCGCAGCAAAGTTGAGACGCGGCGCTCCCCGGCACGATCAGATGCTGGGGAGAAAGCGACGGTGCGAAGGGGAGGCTGGCGAACTGCGCATGCTCACACATGCGCAGTTTGGCCAGGAGCCGGGGATGCGCCGGCGCAAGGACGTGCCAGCAATCCCACGGCCAGCGTTGCTGCGGCCCTTCGAAAAGAACCACCTCGGTAGGTGGTTCTTTTTTGGTGCAGAGAATCGCTGGAAGGGCCGGATCAGGGACGGAGACGGTACGCTTCCCAGATGTTGCGGTGGGATCGCTCCCGTTTGCTCCGCCCCCGTTCCGTCCCTCTCCCAGCCCTAATCCTCTCTTGTGGACAGGGCCAAAGCTTTAGTCCAGTGGCACTTTTAAGACCAACAAAGTTTAATTCTGGGTATAAACTTTGGTGTGCATGCCCACTTCTTCAGATTGATAATAAACCTATTACCTGCAGATAATGAAACTATTTTTACCCCCCATAAAGAGCTCTGAGCAACAGGCATGCATGCATAGGGTGAGTTTCCAATTGTTAGGGTTGCCAGCTCCAGGTTGGGAAATACCTGGAGATTTTTGGGAGTGGAGCCTGAGGAAGGCAGGGTTTGGGGCATAATGCCAGAGAGTCCACCTTCCAAAGAGTCCGCTTTCTCCAGGTGAACCGAGGTCTGGAAACCAGTTGTATTAGCGGGAGATCTCCAGCCACCACCTGGAGGTTGGCAACCCTGCTAATCGTTGCTGTTTTCAAAAGCCAGCCTTTCCTTATCCAGAAGCGAACTTGTAAACGCTTTGTTTTGAAAGACGGGTTATTTCCGACTTTTTGAACGCTAAAGGCGGCTCAAGAAGACGCGGAGGCAGCGGCTGACTTTACAGAGCTTAATTCGAATCGGGAGGCCTCGTCGGTCAAGATTTCCGCGCATTTCTAGCCTGTGCACCAGCCGCAGTCCCTCTAACGGAGGCAGCTACGAGGGTGCCTTTCCCCCCATGGGGACGGGGGACTTGCAAGCAGACCAGCAGACCGAAGCGCCGCAGCTGTAGAACCGAGCGCATGCCGGCTGCACGCTCGCGTGGAGGAAGTAAACCCCGCGGATTTATTTCTCTGCAAACCGGCACGGTCAACCTGGCTCTGACTGCAAGGCTTTAAATAAATATTGGGGGGGG